CTTTCCGGTTTGGAAGTTAGTATCACAGCTTTTGTAGCTGATCAGTTAGAAATTTCTGTAAACACAATCATACAATTAAGGACTATCAAAAATGATTTTCAATATTAAATAGAAAATGCAGCACAAATTACAACATCGCACTGGTTGAAAAAATAAGGCAAATACAAACTTGGCATCGTCGTCTTCGGTCCATGGGATTAAGTCGGCACTGCCATCCGGCTCACCATCCGAAATGTGATACCGGCAAATGGATGCGCCGCTGCTACTTGTTTCGCATCCTAGCGCCGATGCTATACGACTCGATGATACTGCTTCGCGCTGATTCTGTCTCTCGGCAGAATCTCGCCCACTGTTTCTGATCAAAAACTTCGAATCTTTGTCGTTCTGCATTTGCCATAAATTTCTTCCAGACAGCTCCACTGAAACAAAAATGGAATATGGATATTTTAGCTTCTTAGCACTTTTTGCGACCTTATCCGAACAGACTTTCAAAAATATTCCTGTGAGTTACAGTGATCTTCTATATTTTCAACTCTAAGGAAGATGTGTGCAACAGCTTCTCGTGATCTCTGTGCAGTAGATGATCCAGGAATTCGATGTTTCAGAAATGCAGAGGCGAAGGCGGGGCGGGAATTATGCTTAAAGTACGTAACTTTGGGATTAAAACTAAGAGATGCTAAAATGGTAAAAGCTCCTTCGCATGAAACAGCAGCCCTTCTTACAAGCCCATGTTATTCTAAATTATGAATAAAATTCAAAGGAAACATATTATCCTTTTTGTTCTTTCACGAACAATTTTTTTACAGCAATTTACTATTGAACTTTTATAACTTTTTGCTCAAACAATAGCCAGAGATGGTTTTTGGCACCATTTTTTGTGAGGATAAAAGCTTTCTTTCTTAGTCAATTGTTTCGTGGTTTTCAGTTTTGATGCTTAGCATTAAGCATCAGTCCGCTGAAAAAAATCAAACAGATCTTAGAAAGAACCGAATAAGTCTAGGGGCACATCAATGCATAGTTATCTCTCCTCGAAGCTTCACAAAGTTGAAATTCGTTTAAAGCACGTCCGGAATGTGCTGCAAAAAAAGTCATTTTAAATCCAAGAACAATCTTAGAAACTTACAGAGCTGAAACCTGGAAAAGTTATGGAAATAATACAGTAAGGGTTGCTAATACATGAAAAATGAAAGAACAAAAAGAAAATCCTCCAAAAATTCGACCAGTGGTGTCAACTGGAAATTTGTGCGCAGTACAACAGCTGGAACTAAAAGAACAAGATTGCACGTTATGCCATGTTAAATTTTTTGCTTCCAAGGACAAGTAAAATTTTTGAAATTTAATTTTCCTCGAAAAGACAGTGTAATTCTGAGTTTGAAATTTGAGGAGATAACAAGTAGTGAACGAAGTTGAATTAAACGCTATTTTGATAAGGTTGCTACCGAATTTGAAAAAAGCCCGAATTTTGAGCCTCAATTTTACCAGTGGGTAATCTCAGTGGATATGAAATAATAGCTAATTTGCCGGAAGTGTCGCAAAGCGTACATTTATCAATTAAGTCGACAGTAAGTAAATTCCTCAAAGCAAAGTTAGCGCTAGAAATGATAAAGCCAGCAGGTAGCGAACGGCATACAAGAAGAAATGCTAATTATTTCAGGGTGCCGGAACTGTCGGCAAAGCGGAACTCAGACTATCATTTCCACCCTCCAGATCTCCAGGGATTTACCACTGCATAAATAAATATTTTAATTAACGAGTGG